ATGCCTATCTCGAGTTATATATCTCATTTCACCTATCGATTTATTCATTTCATTGTTTATAATTCTACGCCAAGAATTGCGTATATACTACGCTATATAACATATATGTATATACAACGATATATGTCATATATTAATATATACTGCACTATATGCATATATTAATATACTACGCTATATCTCGATATAGCTTGGTTTTATAGATATGAAACAAAGAATATTGAAAATTTTTTACATTATTTACACAAATAAATATAATAAAAATATGCAATTTCTTTATTTGGTGGATGAAAAAATTAGCAACTATAAGGCACAATATCTCTAGAACCAATCGGATTTATGCCATTATAATAAAAAAGTTGTTAAATGTAGCAAACTATTTAAATTTATTGTCAAACTCTGGCGCCAAGCCTATATTTTATTAATAATTAATATTATTATTATTAATATTATTAATATTATTATAATATTATATATTAATTATAATATATTAATTATATTATAAAATATTATTAATATTATTATTATTAATATTATTAACATTAATATAATTATAATTATTATTATTATTTATATAATTATTATAATTACTTGGATCTGGTTTAAGATCAGAGACTGGTTGAATTGTTATTCCTTGAAAATAATAATATTGAGATTAGTATATAGAATATAAGATAATATTGAAATTAAAATATAGAATAGATGCAGAGAGCAAATTAATATTAACATATAGAATAGTTAAATAGAAAACTATATATCTGTCCACTGTGATTTTGGAAACCATATTAAGCTTTCATTATTTTTAAATATTAATAGAAAAGATATAGTACATCGAAAACTGTAAGATCTAATCTGGTAATTTCAAACATTTAATGTAGTTTAAAAGTTATATAATTTATGTTGTTGAAGTCTTATGTGAACATAATATGAAATAAATTAATAATAAATAATATATTAATAAATTTTATTTGGAAGATAGCGTAATTCTCTCTATTTAAATCCATAAATAGGAGTTATAAAAGAAGATGTGTCATATAGGCCGTATGTGTATTATGAAGAAGAATATATGCAGAAACATATTAAATTGTTTCGATTTAAGAAAAAAACATAGTAAATACTGTTTTTGTTGTTTTAAAACGATAAGATAATATATAATGTTTAATTATTTTATTAATATCATAAACGTGTTACATGATTTAAATAGATTTCTTTTGATCTAGATCCCTAGAAGTTTTGCTATTTTGCAAATCTAACGAAATGGAAATGAATTGTATTGTATTATTTAAATTAATTTCATTTAATATGTACCTTTTGAAGAATTTTGTTAAGAAAGGTTGTTGCATAATTTTATCTATTATATTTTTTGGCATTCAAGTAAATTTGCTGCCTGTGACATTGTAGTACAGTGAAAACTTTCCTAACTAGCACCTTCGTTAAGGTAAAGGAGTGTATCTCTAAGATAGAGATATATGATTTCGTTATTATCATCTTATAGAACAATTAAACCCTATTTGATCGGACACTCCGACCAATGTTATCGATTGAATAAAAGTTGATTGATAATTTTATCTTCTGAGCGAGTTTTCACTGTAGTCAAGGAATTTACATATTTCGTTGTGTAGTTTCTTTTAGATAACACGAACACTTTCGTTGAAGGGGCTTTCGTGGAAAATTGTTCTAAAACCACATTTTGCTTTTATAATTATTTAAAATAATTACACCCTGTTTTCTCGGACACCCCTTTCGTATAAATGATAATGAGTATTCTCTCAAGAGAGTTTTCACTGTATTAATAAAAATTACACTTTTCATTGTTTTTTTTTTTTAAATAAATTTAATGTTGATAAATGCTTGAAGAAACTTAAAATGGATTAGAGAAAAGAGAAATTACATAATACTGATTTTGATATAATAGCTTCTATAGTCTTAATGCAGATTATTTTTTTATTGAATTTTTATAAGCATTATTACAATTGAATAGAATTTGAGTAAAAATTTTAAATACAAATTGGATTTTATTGATATTGTTTTTGTTTTTTTAATTTGATTATCGGTAACTTTTTACCAATATTAGCATTATTTTTCAATAAAAATTCACTATATTTTTCTATAAAATATAGTGATTATATGATTTTTTAAAAAATAATCTATCATTTTGCTTTAGAAGTTTAGGATTTCTTTGGAAAAGCAGATGTTTATTAATTGCTAATTTCGAGTTGAAAGTATTACCAACAATCTATGGATTTCGCGATGCTATTGTTTTAGGTTATTAAGTAAATTTTTAGTGTTTTGTGATTGAACTACAAAATATTTGCAAAATACTAATGGTTGATCACGAAACCAATTTAGGGAAAATTTAAGTTTTTGAAAATCCCAATCTATAGTTTAAGTGCCTTGAAAATATGTAAGGATTTGTGATGCTCCATTGTTGTTACACATTAAAATATTAGTTAATCATAAAATGAAGAAAATTGTTTTACTATAGTCTTCAGCTTTAGGGTGAACCAAACTATTGTTTTACAACTTAGGCAAATTTGTATTTCACTGGGATTTTGGGATCAGGCTGTACGGGTGCAAACTAGTTAACTGCAGAATTGTTTCTCGGAATTTCCAATTTTTTTCGCAAAACAACACCAAACTATTGTTTAAATTTTTTGGGTTTTGCAACTACCTATTTAGTAAAAGATTAGCACAATACTTTAGTATAAAATCGTTTAGTTTTCAATATTCTTTTATGTTCTTAAACAAAATGTTGGGACTTTTTGGGACTATGTTGTTTAGTTGCAAATTAATATAATAGTTAATCGCAAAACCATTTTTCGGTAATTTTAGGAAACTGTGAATTATTGCTTTGAGTCTTTAGGTTGAATTTAATAAATTTGGGTCTGCTGTCTGTTGAGAATTTATCATAATATCATAAAACACTGAAAACTATTTAACGGATGTTTTAGGTTTTTCCAAAAACTTTTGTTTACTTACCTTTTACTAGAATAGTTAATCATAAAACCGTGAAAATCATTTTAGTAAAATTCTAAATATTAGAAAAGCCACCCCACCCGCATATGCGAACTCACGTAAATCATCCTTTACGTATTAAAAAAAGGTATCTCTTTTCATTCAATATATTTTGAATTGAATTAGTACATTTATGACAATCATACAAAATTGAAACATCTGTCTTTCAAAATCACAGTCTAGGATAAATTAAGTATTAAGGGTGTGTCTGTAACTACCTGAATTGAGTTAAAATTCTGCGCAAATATAGTTATGCGACTATCTTATTTTCTTGTTTATTATAATAAATAAATATAAAAATATTTAAAGGTAATATACCTTTAAATATTATAATATATAATAATATTATGTAATATATGTTAATATTATAATATTATAATATTATGTGTTACAATTGTGTCTAATTTTTAGGACTTCAAAGTAGTGAGATACTTTTGCCTTGTTTTGTTTCAACAATTATGGAACGAAAAAAAAACTTTTTAAATATGTATCTTTTACTGAAAAAAGATAAAAATACAAAACTATTATTTAATTCATATCTACATATTTACGTTGTACGCATTTATGTAAGCATAATGTTTGTTTATAAACAAACATTATTTAACAACAACATAATTTATTTAATTAGTTAGATTTGTGGTTACGAGATTTTGTTTTATTATGTGAACATACTACATATATACAGAGTAAAAAGAATTTTAAATATTTTAAGAAGAATAAGATAATTATCTACAAACATATTTCACACCGTACTAAAATTTAATACCAAAATAGGTTGAAATAGCGGCTTTGGTCGAAATAGCGGCCTTTGGTCGAAATAGCGGCTTTTGGTCGAAATACCGGCCTTATACACCAAGATTCACTTGAGGTTAAAAAAACGACACGTAGTAATATCATAGATTATCGTTTTTCATACGCGAACCAGAAGGATCTTCAAAAGGAACGCAGTGATCAGTAAATACATAACGCGCCCTTTTAAATAAAACTGAACCAACTTCATAAGTCTATAAACTTATAGGCTAATATAGACTATAGCTAATATTGCAGGATAAAAATTCGGTTAGGTGCCAAATGTCTACTCCAAATGGCAGTTGTTGATCGATTCTAGTTTGAAAGAAAAACAAATATAGAACTTTTTAAACATCTTCAGCTTATAAGTGATCGCAAATAACTTAGGTTCTTTTGCGCAACAATATTTTAATTTTATTTATATACGGCATTTTTTGGGAACATCTCGTAAAGTTCAAAATGATATGGAGTCTATTTTTAATATTTTTAGAGATATACAGTCTCAAAAAAGACTGTGTAAAAATGACCAGCAAAAATGATCTATTTCAAAAATACTGTTTTTCATAGATAGATTAGATTAGTTTAGTTCATATACTACTTGTCAAGCATCGCTTGGACTAAGTTTTTTGTTAATGTTTATATTCTAATGTTTGGTAAAAAATACTTCCATTAACATTATAAACTACCTATGATGTTTTATAAAACCTCTGCGAAAATACTATATTGTATAAATTTAGATCAGTTATAAATGGGTGGTCCACTTTTAATGTGTGTACTGAATAGTAGGCGATTTTGCTGACTAGGGTATCTTTAATATTTAATCTTTAATATTTAATATATTTTTTATAGTAGGGAGCATGAAAGACCCATTTAAGTTTTGCTTAAGGAATTACATATTTGAATATAAATTAATTATATATTGTATATTATTTATTTAATAATTAGTAATATTAATTATTATTGAATAATTATTGATTAATGAAATGATTAATTACAAAATTATTTAAAATTATTAAAATTTTTTTTTCCAAATTTAGTCTGAAAGCGTACGGCAAAGCCAAAGAAAACAAATTAAATAGCAAGAACAACAAAATCAACAATAAAAAAAATCTTAATTGAAGATCAGCTGTGTAAAAAATAATTTATAACAAAATGCAAATATAAGAAAGTGCAATTAAACAACAATAAAAAAGTTATTCTTCTTATTTTTTTTTAATTTTTTCGACACTTCGTTTATTTTCCTACATCAAGTGTGAAAAGCTTGTCTTTTCACGACAAAGGCTTCATCATTTATTCCTACGTAGCAGAAAACATTGTTTGTGGAATGGATATAGGAGGTAAGTGTACAATAATATATCATACTCATCCAAAAATCATCATCTTTATCCCATAATATACATATTTATCTCGGAAAATGATCATTTTCATCACAGAATCATCATCTTTATCCCAGATCATGATTTTTGTGACAGAATGATCATCTATCTTCATATCAAAACATCATATAATAATTAAATCATTAAAATTATAATTAAAATTTTATATACTATTGTTTTCTTATACATATTCGAATCAACATTTTTATATATATTATTATTATATTATATATTTTTCGTTCGTTTTCGTAGAGATTTATTACGAAAACTGCATAAACGCTTCAGTTTTTGCTTTTTGTTTGCTAAACACTGGCACTTGTGATAATTTTTCTTCACACTCTACTGAGATAAAATTCTTCATTTATTTATGACTCATCATATTAAAAGTACAATAACTAAAATATAATAAAAATGTCTTTTAGAAAAACAATGCACAATAATATAAATCAAATATACAAATATACGTACACAGTCACTTGCATGTTTAAATATATGTTATACATATATATAATTCTATATAATAGATAGAATATTTTATAATTGTTGTCAGTTGCTTAGTGCTTAGTAAGCGTTTTTTACTATATATGTGTATTAAAAAAAATTCTTGTATTTGATTGAATAAGTATCTCATAGCTCTCTATACGAATGCGAATTGTTTATTAAAATTTGTATACGGCTAAATACCAAAATCGGTTGTAAAACGAGATTCAAAAATTTGTTGCTTTAATTGTTAATTTTTATTGTGTTTTTATTCTTATATTACAGTAAATAGTCCAGAATTTTGAAAAATATACTATAATTATTCCTCAGGAAATTTTTCCATAAACTAAACAAAAACTCCCTTATCTTCGAAGCAAAACGTAAATAAAACACATTTATGATTATTATTATGATCAAATGCAATATATTGTTTGGATATTGTCATTAGCTGTGAAATCCTTCATATGATGTTCTCTTAAAGTACTAGAATGTTTTAAATAATGATGACTTTGATGACTTTTCGACACATACTATAGCTGATAATAGCGCGGCAGCAATTTGACGGTTAGACATTAAAGTGTCCAAATTTTGAGTAGTGTCATGATCACGACAGAGCCTTGTAGTTATATGCGAAAACTGACAGGCTATCCTACTTAGCACTATCTAATCTTAGAGTAATCACTTTCCGCACGGGGAAATAATAATGAAGCTTATAAGGAATACATAAATTAGTCAATGAGATGGGTGGACCCTGTAGTACCCCCAGCTATCAAAGAGTAAAAGTGCCCAGTTGCGCTGACTCTAAAAAAGGACCAATATACATACATACATACATGATCACGATGGTCAGTCCATCACCAATCACCAAAATTTAAAATTAGGTATCCAAAAAATTTGTTGCATAACAAAGCCAAAACAGTTTAAGTTAAGTGGCTTTTGTTAAGTGGCATACAATTAGAATTGTTGATCAGTTATGAAAGGATCAAATTCTTTAAACATACATTCGTCTTTTTAAAAAAAATCCAGATTATCACACCCCACCAGACCAAATGTTACGTTGTACAGATTATTACACCCCCACAGTCTAAATGTCATATTTTACTTGGTTGCTGCAATAGTCTTTTGCCTTGACCCGTAACCTGATAGAATTATCTCCAGATACTAATATTAACAGAAACCAAATACTCAAGATATTTACTGCTTGATAGTTAATGTATCCACCAAACAAGAAATGATATTCCTAACTGAAGAAAATTCGATGCAAAAATCGTCATACGAATGCAGTCTTTCTAGTATCCAATA